AAGCCCAGGAGACCCAACCGGTAGTTGATAGTGACCACTATGATGTCAGTGCGGGCGACCAGAGAGCCTGGTAGGTAGAGATCTGCGAAGCCGTTGAGGTTCGCTCCCCCGTGGATATATACCAGCACCTGGAGGGAAACATACAAAGTTCAGAGTACCTTTCAGAGTCTGGTGAAAGATGAAAAGTGGAGAAATGGTGTGGGTTTAACCCTATCCGTACGCCCTGGGGTCATTTTGTGCCCCTGGGGTTGTATTCTTCACATTTTAAAATACTTCTAGTACGATGATCTCTTTGAAACATTTCAGTATTTCTCCAAAAAATCATTTCGACAGAGTGTTATGCAAAGCATACGGATCGGATTAACGAGTAAATTTCCTCTTCGGAAAGTGGTGGCACAAAGATCCCCACGTCGTATGGATACGATAGGAAAACACGACGTACGGATAGGACTGAGTGGTGGCACAGAGTTTCCCACGTCGTGTGGATACGATAGTAAAGCACGACGTACGGATAGGATTAATGAAGTTATCAACACTGTCAGGTTATTTAAGAAGCGGGGCATCCGAGTTGAACGTCCATCTCCGAAAGAACCGAACCAGATGGGAAATTCGGGTAAGGTCTTTCACAGGGACACAACGGCGGACTGAGCCGAGCCTCAAGCCCCCGAACCTGCAATCTCATGATCGCGATTCCCGAAGCCTGCTAAGCATGAGGACATAGACACCGCCCGTGACTGATGGGAGCGAAAATGGTCAGAGGTGGAGAAACAACAATAACTGTGGCAACGTGGGGAAATGAGGCGCTCGTCAAAAACCAAGAAATCGAAGGAAACAACATTTTCCCGTTTGTTGGGCAATTTTATCGATTATTTTTTTTAGCTAAACACTTTTTATGACTAATTAAAAATACACTTCTGTGTGGATTTTACTGCAAAACCTTGATTAAAAGCCTCCCTACCCCCAACACCAGAAAAAAAAAGTAAAAGAGCATTTTGCAAGGACTCTCAATCTATACAAGTTACCAGACTTTGGCTGCCATTTTCTTGTTAATTTTACCTCTAAAACAAGGTGATCCCCACCTCTTTCAATCGGAAATATCTCAACTTTTATTCCAGGTAGATGAGCATTTTTTTAAATCGAAAGTAAGTCAAACGA